TATACATATTTTGCAAAGAGTGATCTTGGCCTGTGTTGTGAAGTTTTTCATTAGGAAGCTGATGAGCCGTCTAAATTTAGAAATAATAGACGAGGTATATTCTTAGTACTTTAGACTTCCTGTGTAAGTAATACCTAGATCGTGCACTGATCTGTGTGTTTAAACTCTACTTTTATTTAAGTCAAGTTGTGAATCATAGGGATGTTTTCCAAAATGCATGATCATTGTTATTTTTTGCTCCAGATTGTTAGGCTATAAGGTCATTTTGAATCTGGGATATACTTTCTCTAGAGATTCAGGCATAAAGCTGTATACTGTTTTGAAATCGTCAGTGTATAAGTATGGTCTCCCAAATTTAGTGTTATATATATCATTTATATACATAAGAAACAAGAGTGGACCTAATACACTTCCCTGGATGATTCCACTAGTTTCTGATCTGGGTAATGAGAGATGGTCATTGTACTTTACCATTTGTTTACGTTCTGTTAAGAACGAAGCAAACCATGAGTATAGTGGGTTGTTTATGCCGAAGGACTTTAGTTTGATGAGAAACCATTTGTGTGGGACCTTATCAAAGCCTTTCTTAAAGTCTGAGAATAGAACTCATACAAGGAGTCCGTTGTTCGTTACAGAGTTATATCATTCAGGTAGTCTACTAGGCATGTATCGCATGATCTGGACCTAAGAAATCCATACTGGGAGGTTGAGATGAGGTTATTAGTAAATATATGATGGACTACCGCCGCCTTAACTACCTTTTCTATCACTCTAAATACCACTGAGGTCATGCTTATTGGCCGGTAATTTTCAACATTTGATTCAGGTCCTGTTCTAATTTTGTGAATGATATATGTAGTTTTCCACTCAGCAGGGTAATACACTGTAGAGAGTGATAACACAAATAGTTTGAGGAGTAAAACACACATATTATCACTTCTACATTTTCGCATGCTAGCCAGAATACCACCTGGTCCATCTGTGTAAGAGTGCTTCAGTGTGATAATTGCCTTAGAAATATTCTCTACATTGTAGCCTACATTAGTAATTTCGCAGGAAGGCACTGGAATTGGTTCTAATTCATTTAGTGATTTTTCGTTAGTTAATGGGGAACAAAAGTGTTCACTGAATTGTTCTCTAACAAGTCTAGGATCTTCGTATACTTGTTTGTCCTTAATAAGTACGTTTCCTCCTTTTGATTTAGAACGTTTAAGTCTATTTTGTAGGAGTCTGATAACTGAGAAGTCATTGTTAGGCTCAATGACACGTTTCTTCATGGGCAACTGTTTTTTGTGCACTTCTTGCCTCTGTCTGGGCAAATATTATTGTTATCGTAACTAGGGAGGAAAGTCATTAAGGTTGTGGAATCGAGTACTATGTCTTGAAGACGTCTTCACATAGAGACCGGTATATACAGATCTTTAGAAAACTTAGGTTTCAGACATTTTTAAGTTGCGATTTTGTTGGAGATATTAATGATTTTGTGATAGAATATATTAGTTAGTGTGTCGGTATCGTTTACAGTAAATAAGGTTCCCCAATCAGTACTTCTTAGGTAATTTTGTAAGTTCTTCCAATCGACCTTGTGATAGTTCCTACGAATTCGTAGAAACTGTAGCACATAAGTGCTGCAGTTTTGCGTCTACCGGTTGTAATATTTATATTAACGCTACATATGACAATGTCATGATCGCTACCAAGAAACGTTTGTCTGGCATACATACTGTAGCCTGAGAGAAAGCGAAGTAACCTTTGACGTTAAAACCTCGATTACTTAGTTATGGAGTCAAACAAATAATGAAGTCTTGGTATACAATCTTTTGAGTTTAATGATAGAACACCGATGGTTGACCCAAAAAAGCTTTTGAGGAGTCAAATCAACCGATATCAACCTTCTGCTTGCGATCAAAATTGCTTGTCCATCTGTCCACCGCAGTCAGCAGGTCGGTTATACAAGAGTGACCCTTCCTAATACCATGCTGTTGGGGTGAGAAGAAGTTTAAGGATAGTAAATAGTCATGTATACAATCGCATATCAGGGACTCCACGATTTTTGAAGGTATGGGGAGAAGAGCCACTGGTCGATAGCTTGAAGGTTCGCTGCGTCAACCTCCTTTGAAAATTGGTGTGATGTGAGCCAGCTTCCAAATTTTCAGTAGTTTGCCTCGGCCTAGCAAGTGTGAGAACATCACGCTAAGCGGTGTTGCCAGGATTGAAACTGATTCCTTCAGTATAGCAGAATGAACCATATCCGGACCAGGAGAAATGTCTTTTTCAGGTGCTGCAGTTTCCGGTACACCAAGTCAGCGCTCAGGTTCACTCCTTAACGTCCTGTAGAGTAGCAGATGAAGCTTTCACCAATATTGTTAGTGTGGGTTGGTTGAAATGTCTGAGAGTATTGTTCAGCCAGAAGGTTAGCGGCGTCGCCGTCGTTGTTGGTCGGGCCATTAGGACTCCAGTTTTGGCTTGTCGAAGAGAAGCGGCCTAACAGAATAAGCTTTTTGGATTGGAGGCGAATTTATCCACAAGCTTTATCTGGTTCTGAAGTCCGTCTTCTCTTATAGCCTTCGTGCATATGTTTCTTATGTGTTTGTATTGCCTGTACGCGCCGTCGTTGTCATTTCGACTGTATTCTGCCCAACAGTACCTTTTGCGGCTTAGCAGGCGAAGAGTGCGGTTCTTGATAACTGTAGGGTGCTTATAGGTTTTGGTGACCATTTGTTGAATAAACTGCTCTGTGGCACATAAGATGGTGTGCAGTAAGAAATCCCAATAAGCATCCATATCAAGTTGAGCGTGAACTTTCCAGATCACATGCTGTAGATTGTCCTGTAAAGCTGACACATTCAACTGTTTAAAATTTGAGCGCCTGTGTTGGTAGGATGTCTTAGCTCAGTTTTGTTAATAAAACTGAACGCTTTGACGGCATGACCGCTTTTTCTTAGGGGAGCCAAGTTTGAGAGGTTGTCAAGTAGGAATTCCTCGTTTGTAAATACCCAGTCTAAGTGCGACGGTATCTGACTGTTTTTCAACGAGTTGCCGACTTCACAATTTCGTATAATACCAGATCCTCTGTTCTTCAATCTCACTGAAGATTGTATACATGACTATTTACTATCCTTAAACTTCTTTCACCCCAACAGCATGGTATTAGGAAGGGTCACTCTTGTATAACCAACCTGCTGACTGCGGTGGACAGATGGACAAGCAATTTTGATCGCAAGCAGAAGGTTGATATCGGTTGACTTGACTCCTCAAAAGCTTTTGATTTGGTCACCTATATATGTTGAAAATGCCACAGGTATTCGTGGTTTGACAACGCTTTAATCAGTAACACCTAACATGAAGCGTACCCACCAATTTAAAACAAATACTGATGCGAGGAGTTTCGAAGATATATTTGACAGACCATCAATATATCGAGGATCGTCTGATTTGATCTGGCTATCGATTGGAGGGGTTGTTGGACACGGCGTAACCACTCGTGATCTGGTGCGGACGCATGACCGAGCGCCTTCAGCTAAGTGATTCCACTAAAACTAATGTGGTCAGCATTCAATGTCGAAAACTCATTGGGCTATTTATTTTGGAGATTTATTTGCCGCTACAATGTCTTATCAACAAGCTCAAAACATTGGGTATCAGAACACCTTCAATTTACTGGCTCACTTCGTATCTAAAGAATCGGCATTTTAAGGTCAGGGTTAACTTCGCTTCTTCTCAGGCTATGGAATGTCCCAGTGGGGTCCCTCAGGGCTCAGTACTAGGACCTCTCCTCTTCTTGGTTTACATAAATGATCTTTCACAACAGATATCGTAAGACTTATTACTATTTGCTGATGATGCGAAACTTTGGAGAGGGATACGCAACCAAGACGATACACAGGCATTTCAGGAGGATCTGACTCGACTTCAAAGTTAGGCAGACGATAACAGACTTACCTTTAATACTTTAAAGTGTAAAGTAGTCCATCTGCGTCATGTTGCAGATTACAGTTACAACTTAAGAAACTGCTCTCTAGTAGTATCCCGGGTCGAAAAAGATCTAGGAATCCTGATACTCTACGATTTGAAGTCTTACGCTAACTGACAAAAATGCCTTTCGAGCAAACCTTGCACTGGTAACATTGAAGCTCATTTTCGGCCAGTTTGACGGAAGAAATTTGAACATAATCTTCAACAGTTTTTTCGTCCCCATTTAGAGTGCGGAAACATAGTGTCTCCTCCCTCACCCCAAAGAGATAAGGAAACTCTGGAGCGTATCCAACAGTGAACCACGAAGTCAGTTCGGGGACTCAAATTCAAACCTTATGAAGAGCGCCTCCAATCACTTAATCTTTACCCATTAGAGTATAGGCATCTTAGAGGTGACCTTCTAATGGCCTACAGTATCCTTAACACTTTTGGGCATCCCCTTAGACACCTACTTAAGCTTAGTCCCAATACAAACCTAAGGGGTAACATCCAGAAATTGGAGACATAACATGGCAGAACGGACTGTAGATACAACTTCTACTCCTCAAGAGTAGTCAAATGCTGGAATTCGCTGTCGGCTGAACTAGTCCAAGCGACTTCTCGGAAGTCCTTTAACAGGAAACTTGACATATTCTTAAGGACTAAGGATAACATCTTATTATGATTTACCAATTCCTTTTTTCCCTATGTTATCGTTAATACACCTAGATTTCTGCCTGGAGGTATTGGTGATCCACTGCTACTAGACACGGAAGCCCGTTAAGCGAAAGCTTCTTGTATTCCGTCCACAACCATTTGAACAATTTGAACCATCTATTGTCAAACAGACCGCGGACTTGTTTGTGACTTCAAAGAAGTATGTCCTGAATGTATTAATCTTGAATCTGATAAATATATAATTCTCAATTATGGAAAACCGTTTCGTTTTTGTTTCATTGGTTGTGAAGTTACTCCCTCCCTTGGCGCACCTTGTTTCGTTTGTGAACAGCTGTACCCGTGGAGTTTAAGCTCTGTTTGGTGGTCCTATGGATCAGTGCGAGATTTACTCAACTCGAGGTAGCGCCTTGGAATCAGCAGTCACTTTACCTAGAAGGTACGTACAGTAGTATATCGTCAGACATGCAGTACAATTGAGTTGATGATTATCATCAATTAGTAACTTCCGTGTTTACGGATTGAATGGTCACTCGGTAACTTTCTGAGAGTTTTTCGAGGGACCAAATGTTTTTATAGACCATACTTAATACTAAAAAGATTACAGAGTTATAAAAGAAGTGCTTGTTCATGGTAACATTAGTAATGGTCCAGTGGTCTGTCTTTTATAGAGACTACTTTTTCGTCTAGTGAAAAACCTGCTTATGGTATTTTAAAACACATTTCTCACATGTTTTAGGGCTTAAGTTGGGTTTGCCAGTTGTAATTCATTTCCAATATTAAACGCAATGGTATATTCGATTTTTAAGATATATACATCTTGGTCTGTTAAATGCAAACTTATATTTGTCACATTACAAATACAGATCTTCAAGGTCTGGTACCTTAAGCTATCTCAGCTTAAAGTCTTGGTTTTCCATCAGTCTATCCGTGTATTTACTAGTGAAAACCAACAAAATCATGCACTGTTCATTTTATATCTTAAGATATACTTCTATTATGTGAATTTTTGTGGCGTAGTTCTGATTGTTGTCTTGTTTGCTGACTTGCAGCTACTTCCAGTCTCATCAGTGGTGTTCAAGTTTTGGCATTTGTTCAACCTGAGCTACATTTTTAATGTGGCAGCTGTTTCTGAATTTAAGATCGTAATACGAGTTCTCGTGTTCTTGCTGATCGTACTGGATTGTATATTGCCGAACTAATTTAGGTATGACAGATACTCTCATCAAACGACCAAATTAATTTGAAAGTAGGATCGCCGTAAAATATAAAATCTACTGGAGGGCCGCTTCGTCTCAGTGTTGGACTCCTCAACAGTGTTTATTTACGGTCCTGCATGCGAGACTAATAACAAACTTGCTCATTTACCGACTGGGGATACGCTTTAAAATAGAGTACAGAAGTGCTGTCTCAATGTGACCGGTGAAACACGGTTTTCCGTTCTGTAGTAACGGTTGGAATATTTTCACAAGTTTTATTGTCCCCTAATCATTTACTCAAGAAGTAGTTTCGTTCCACTGTTGTTTTGTCCGGGTTGGAAAACTTAACTATAAAGTATTTTGATGTTATGTATCACTCGATTTTCTCCCTAAATATTTAGTAATAATTCTTTATTGTAATACCAAGAAACAAGACTTCTACTCGTCTTTGGTAAGTAAATATTTATGGCACGACTGACTACAACGATAGGTTTTTCTGTAACATCAAGTTCAAATCACCTAGAGTAGGTAAGTTTGTGTGGCTTCTTAAATAATCGGTCAGTTGTATAAACACCGTAAAATCTATGACATAACATTTCATTTGTATGCCCTTACATTCAAACTTAATTTAGTACGTTTTACTTGTCATGTAGCCATGGAAAACTCAAACGGGACCAAGGGGAACTCATGGATGATGCTGTAAAACTTGCTGCTGTGAGTTAATTTTGATTTTATTCCAACCATATACGAATTACTTTTTGAGCTCATTTTGTGTTAATATATTTCTGACCTAATAAGCAGTCCAACTAAATTCAATTTTGTATTTTGTAGCTGAGTACTCAAACCTCCAAAAACCTGTTGGTAAATGCGGGCTATCTTGTTATGATCCGGGCAATGACTGATTATTCGTTGAATACATTGGATGGCATGACTTAGAAACTATTGCAGTGACACACACATGCACTCTTTATTTTTCTTTAGATCTTGAGTTCCCATATTTCTTCATAGTTATCTTTTTAACCATGTTCTTGATGTTTATTCTCTCAATATTGTTTATGCTACTATTATTTCGAATCTTTTGCTACTCATCTTATTAGTTTCATCTCTTTGTTCCGATATGGTGTGATTTGAGTTAGCATTTGTGCTAGGCTAGCCCCAAATGCCCTGGTACGGCCGAGAGTGGGGAGAGTCCTCTCTCCTTCTCCGAATGCTCTCACATGGCCAAGCGTATATAGCCTCTGCCAGGGAAGTCCTACTCATCGCCCCGTGTCGGGGGTGTTTACGAAATTGGGAGAACGAAAAGCGAATGTCCGGCTCAGGGTTTAACCGGGTTTGTAGACATGGTGGATTTATCTAGGGGAGTTGGAAAACCTTCATTCCAAACCAATGGTGCACATGGGCTCCAGTATCCTGAAGGAACAAATGGCGTATGAACCAATCGTTGGTCACCGGCTACCACGGGACTGCATCTCCTTACGACGCTCCACTGCCTTGTGGATCAGACCTTCATGTTGAAAGCTCCGGGTGTGGCCCCCTAAGAAAACCACCTGCTTCGGTTTGGGCACCCTAGCAGTATCACAACCCTCACACATATCAAATGAGATCTGTGTGGCGTATATGTATTTGGTGCATCCTTGTACCAATATATATGTGTTAAAATAAAATAATAAAATAGGCTATTCATTGATTATTAGTTATACTATTCATTTGAGTAGGTAGACCCATTAGATTTTTTATCAGATTGTTATTCCTCTCTAAATATATCATTTTTTCATGTGATGTTTTCCAACATGGATCTGGATCTGGTGATAGCTTCCGTTGTTCCTACTAAATATTCGGTGCCTTTTACTTTTTAGATTAAAATTTCACGACAGTCACAACCACCAGATTCAGATGGTCTAACTGTAATAAACACATGTGAAACAAATGCCATGAGTGTTTTACCTCGTCTACTTCGAACTATGACAAACAGAAATTCTCAGACAGCTAATGATAATCGATCTGCCGTTGAAAATAATCAAATCTCAAATGGTGAATTATGCTTTTCAGTGTCTGTCCCTGGACCAACTGTCAACGATAGTGATTCTTCATCTTCTTCCTCTTCTTTTATGTCAACTCCATCTTCCGGTTCATCATTGATTTCGTTTCTTTCTCCTGGACATTTAGGACCTGTTGCTGCTATGGCCGCTGTAGCGTTGTCAACTGCTGTAACTACAATGTCCGTAAATGATATTCAAGAATCTTCAGGTCTAGTGACTTTAGCAACTGCTAGTAGCCTAATTGAAAAAGAATGGCGTGCACGTGCTTCGGTTGTTAATAATAATGGAAGTGTAAATAATGCAAAAGAAAATGCTGAAACTACACTTACTGTCCAACATCATACTGATTTATTAACATCTACTATTCAAGGAAATATTGATAGAAATCAACAATTCTCTTTGGATGGTTCACCATCTTTAGTAATTGGTGCTTTAAATACTTCATCATCACAGTCCTTATTAAATGAATCGACCCCAGTGACTAGAGCTGTGTTGAACGTTCAAAGTAAGGAATTCCTCATGTTACTTTGTGGAAATCTCTTGTATCAATGCATTTCTTATTTACTACTTTGTAAACGATAGTCCACAAAGGCGTTAACCTTGATGATTCAAACAAATAACAACTACTGTGTGCTCCGGTGTCCCAAAGTAATGGTATTTTCTAACAAATTTATGTACTTCTGAATTACTGTTACAATCCTAAGATAATTTTTGTTCATCGGTAAGCTTTGCTAGTCTCAGATTGTCTCACAAACTCGTCAACTTTTTAAGTCTGTAAATTCTCTTTGACCTTGCAATAGACAATAGGTGTTTTGTCTTGGGAAAAATTTGATCCGGCTGACCAGTGAGCAAAGTTAATCTGTTTTAAACAGATGTTTTAATATATAGCTCAGTGTTATATGTTTACATCACAAAAATAACAGTCATTTGGAATGAGATACTTACTATATTATCAGTTATATGCTTGGTTAAAAGACCCCAACCGAAGCTGCTACCTTGACGCGGTGGTCGGGCTTGCCTATCGTGATGACCCAACCGAGCTATATTGGCTGGAACATATGTTCCTGTAGGTTCTACCATGCCAGGCAGGTCGATTGGAGAACGGTAAGACTAAAAGCAGCAACTCAAGGTCTGAGGGCGAAGTCGTACTGCTGACTGTAGAGGGGTGTGACAGCAGTAAGGTGTTTCCTCGGACAACCAGCATGACAGCGATGCTGCCTTCCCACAAGGAGGGGTGGGGTTAGAAAAGGTCGACCCTAAAAATGTCACACCTCACCTTACCTCACGGATTTCCGTCTCCGGCGGTAAGGCCCTTTGAAGAACGGAGCTAACACGTTAAAAACCTTCCACAAAAAGGCCGTGCGCGACCGGCCTCAAGCAGTTGTCCCTTGGGCTCTGCGGTCACGCTCCCAGGTCGTCAAGACCAACACTAATCCAATTTCCTTTTCAGGTTCCTCAAGAAATACCCTTCCACGGTGTGGGCAGCCGGGAAGTGACATCAGCCCTCATACCCGTAACAGCACACGAGACCAAGTTGGTCACATTCAAATCCTTCCTACACCTCCTAATAACTCTCTTATCTCCATGACTAACCCTCCTCACGTCTCTTTATCACCTCGCACCGCTAGGGCAAACGATTCGAGTACGTGGAACGTTATTCCTGGTCTCCTGAAACCACGCTCTAAACTACACGTAGGAGCTTTTAACGTCCGAACACTGTGCCAAATAGGACAAAAGCATTCCTAGCTAGAACTTTAGAATCTCGCGCCATCGATGTGTGCTGCGTCTCCGAAACGCGCATACAGGATCCGAGTAGCGTCATTCATTTGACCTCACCATGCCAAAATAAAGAACCGACTCGATTCACACTTCGTGTATCTGGAAGCCCTGATTCTGCTTCCCGTGGCCTCGCCGGCGTAGGTATAGCATTGAGTCCTAGGGCAGAACTAGCTCTCTTAGAGTGGATCCCAGTAGACAGTCGTTTGTGCGCTGTCCGACTGAACGGAACAGTAAGGATCCGGAAAGATAGGGACACTCGTCGTTGCCTCTTCGTCGTCTCTGCCTATTCTCCCACTGACTGCAGCTCAGATGATGTAAAAGATGAGTTTTACAGAAAGCTCTCCGACCTTCTCCGAAAAGCTAGGCGCTCGGATGTAGTAATAGTGGCCGGTGACTTTAATGCTCAAGTAGGTAAACTAAGCGATAGGGAAAGACACCTAGGTGGATCTTATGGTGTCGTGGCTCAAAGAACAGATAATGGCGACCGTCTGTTGCAGCTATGCTCAGATAACCGCCTGTTCCTTGCAAATACTAACTTTAAGCATAAGGAAAAACATCTTTTAACATGGCGACCCCCTAATTCGTCCCAACGTTGGACCCAAATAGATCACATCGCTATCAGCCACCGATGGAGGGGCTCGATAGAAGACTGTCGCTCATTCTGGAGCACATGCTTAGATTCAGATCATGCTCTAGTGCGAGCGCGTATTTGTCTGTGTCTTACTGGACGTAGGAAAGAAGCTGCAAGGAAACCTCTTAGGGCCTACTTAATGATAGTCAAGCTAAGAGTATATTTCAGGAACAACTAGAAAAACAGTTAGGCAGCCATGTATGTGATGCCCACTCCAGGGCAATGTGGAATGATATCCGAAAAGCTGTGGAAACAGCAGTGATATCTGCTAGTACGGTAAAGCAAGGTTAAGGAGCAACACTGGATCTCAGCAGCATCTATTGCACTGATAGATGCTCGGAAACTCATTCCACCTGGCTCTGAACATAATGAAGAGCGGAGTCAGCTTAAGCGCAAGCTGACAAGAAGTCTACGCAATGATCGTGAACAGTGGTGGGTAGCGAAAGCAAGAGAGATGGAAAAGGCAGCGGCAATAGGTAATAGCAGACAATTGTTCAGACTTGTTAAGGAAACCGGTATTAGGAAACCGACTGTTAGCGAAACAATTTCAGAAAATGATGGACATATTATATATTCTCAATCCAGGAGATTGGATCGATGGGCAGAATACTTCAGGGATCAGTTCAACTGGCCTTCAGCCACAAATCGGTTTCCCACGAGGTCTTAGGTAGAATTTGGGAACTGGACGTAATCCCATCTGACTGGTCTCAATCACTGATTGTGCCAGTCTATAAGAAAGGACAAAAGTCCTTTTGTGACAATCACAGAGGAATCAGTTTGACTAATATAGTGTCTAAAATATTAGCTTCAATAATACTTCGACTCCTAACTAAAGCTCGTGAAGAACAGACTAGAGAAAATCAGGCTGGTTTTCGACCTGTACGTGATTGTATAGTTCAGATATTCACACTACGTCAGGTTCTAGAACACAGACACACATTCGGACGCCCCACAATGGTGGTATTTCTCGACCTCAAGGTGGCATTCGACTCTGTTGATCGTTAATAATAATTATTATTCTCGGGCAAACGGGTGTTTCCTACGAAACGAAGTTTTTATTTCAGTGTCATAAATGATATTCATTAGGTTTGTTTTAAACGCTCATAGCTCTCATAAAGAGGGCACTACTAAATTCTACATATTTTTCACAGGTTTAGCAGCTTTTATTCGTGAAACTCAGAAACAATGCTCCATATCCAGTCCAACCACATCTATTGAACTACCTCTAACGTCAGTTTTCCCTCTTCAAACTGAAACAAAATTAACTTCTTCGTGTTCTGTCAGGCAAGTTGCTTCACCTTCCTATCTTTTACCTGCTGCATCCACTCCATCTTTTCTTTCAATGAATCCGGTCCCACAAAATCTTCCAACCGTTTTAGAACAGCCTTTACATTCAGAATCAGTAGCAGTAAATCATAATACTCATCCATCACCACCTATTCAATCAACTGCATTCATATCTTTACAACCTGCACCAGGTTCTTTAATTAGTCCTTCTGATTTACAACAGCTTGTAGCAAGTGGGGAATTCATGTCCTCAGCAGCTCGGGTAAGTTCATCTCTTATATAATCAAGAATATATTATATAGAAATATCTAAATATCACTGTAATACCACGTTACCACTTCATACTTCGATCTAAGCATAGAGTTCTTTAAAAAATTTTCAATCAAATATTATCACTACTCAAGTTTAACTAGGCGTTGTTTCATACACTTCTGACAATCAATTTTCATTGAATATTCGTTTTGTTATAGTTTGAGAACATCTCTTAAGTTTTATTAGTATTGAGCTTAGTTTCTTCGTCTTTCAGTTAAAGTATATTTTGTGGTCTAGTTGCTAATTTATTGTTCACCAAATTTTAGTTGTTTTGGAATATAGATTAACCAGAAATGATATTGGTACATGGTCATTACTGTTTATCATCTAGTTAGTATTATAGCGCAAAACGGGTTATGACTTCTTTTCTAGTCTCATATTTCAGTTGAATTCACTATCATCTATAATACGCAACGTAGAACCTCTTACACATGTGTATCAATGCTAGTTGTCATACCACATTGACAAAGCGAGATAAAATTATTTTGAGACAACCCAGAGTAGTGGGACTAGCAACAGTATCAGTAGTGTTAGTAGAAAATATTTAGTATAGAAAAAGAAATAAAGTATGGGGAGATTTCGGGACTCATGTTCCGAAAGAAGACAAGAAGTCAATACATGTGCACAGTTGCGAACGATTTTGAACTATATCACCTGAATTCTCTAACCACTTGTTACGGTAATCGCGTGTACCCTAACCAGATAGGTCGCACCTACCTACCTACCTGAGTCAGTCCAATTTTCATTGGCTTCATAGATTGGTGCCACATCTTCGGTCTCCCCTAGCCTTCTCCCAACCTAATTCTACACTAGACATCACTCATCGAGGTAGCCACTCGTTGGGCAAACGTAACTACCCCATCAGTCTATTTTCCATGTTTACCGAGTACCCTATCCCTTATCTCGACATAACCTTATTCGATGGTCTGATAGTGCACGATTAATGCTCGATTTGAGTTACTTATAAGCCATTCAACTTTAAATCTTGCCATGGAGTGAAATAGTACTTGTTCTGCAGTAAGACAGGTAAAAGTTTTATTCCAGTTTAACGATTGTGAATTTTTTTTCACTTCGGTCAAAATACTAAACTTTCAAACATATTTTGACGTTATTCATGAAACATCCCTTTAGATTTTTCCCCATAAAAGCTCCGTAACAATTTGAGTTTTTATGTGAACTTGACCAAAGTTTACGTTCGTTATGACATTAATGTTTATCATTCACTCTTGGTAAATAGATGTTTTTGATTCGGTATTTTTTATTATAAATAACAATAATAATGGAGATTTTAGATTGTTTTAATCTGAGTTGCATGTGATGTAATACTATCAGATAATTCTCAAATATATGGCTTTCGTATCCTTCAATAACTGTCATGATAGTATGCTAACTATGTAGTTTGGTTCTTTGGATTTAGCAAACTTTACTTGGTCAGTCTTCTGATGGATCTACACGACAACTTTATCTGCTCGTACCAAGTGACTGTCCTGTAATTATGCCAAGAGTTTCAAATAACCAACCAACTATGACTCCTATTCTACCATCTACATCTCCTTTGATTGAATCTATTCCCACAAGTGCCCAATATTGGAAGCTATATCCCCAGGTGTAGAACCTGAAGAAAATTGTGTTCAAATGCAATCTGAATCGTCAACATGTAACAATGCACAACAGGTGCTAACTTCTGTTTCACATTTAGCAACTACAATGCTTAACCCAATGAGTTCTACATCCACGACAGCATTATCTACTTTCCTGGCCGGCTTAGAAGCTCGTAATCATCAACCTATACAACAGATTCAATTAAGTGGATTACCTTTATCTGCTGCAACATCTTCGCTGTCTTGTTCATATTCTGACTCTTCATCAGCCCACACTGCTAAAGACTCATCGGCTCCCAGTTGTTCACAACTCAGAATTCCACTTCAAGTTTCTGGCCTTCCCATTTCCGAGAATGGTTCATTATCAGTTGAACAAAATGTTTACCCTGTTACAAATAACGTTGCGAACTCTATATTAGGTGTTGTAAAAAGTAAGTTTTAATATAGATTTTATGAAAGAAAAAAACAACCCGTTACTTATTAAATTGTCTTATGAAGACAAATTTCCACATCTATATTCCATTTTTTAAAACAGGCATTTACTGGCTATAATCAAACTTTTGCCTTTGTGTAAAATCTGATTTTAAAAATGTTATAGAAACATGACAACAGTCCAGAGGAATGTTCATTATTCATTAATTATGAAAATGTCCTTTTCCATTCTTTTACAAATGATTCAAGTTATATACATTATAAAACCAGACACATTTGTGCTTCGGCTCAAGTTGTCATACCACACTGTCGTAGTGAGATAAAATTATTTCAATACAAATTCCACTAGTAAAAATAGTAGCAGTATCAGTAGTCATAGAAAACGAAAATAAGATATAAGATCCTGAAACTTAAGATCTAAGTGGAACCAAAGAGTGAATGCATGTACACAATTGTCACCGATTTCGACCCATATCACACAGTCTCTAGCCATTGGTTACGATAATTGCACACTATGCACTACTATATGGTGACTATAAGTCATTTTCATATCTAGATACCGTTTATTCGTTTGTGTTCTACACGAATTAGCTTACGATATAAAAATTGGGGTTGACTAGACCGAGATATCCCACTACTTTATGAAGTCACTGCTGATATGTAGACATCCTAATGAGTTCGCAAAGTGATCGTATCCTGCAGTTAAATGTCTTAGGTGATATAACAGCCTGTAGGTACGTCACAGATACATACTATTTTCATCGTTCTCTGAACATCGAGTTTCAATGTTCCATACGTTTCATTTACTGATCTCACTCTATCTCAATCTATGTTATCAGTGTCGATTTTTTCTGTGGTTAATATCAATATTCTTTTTTCTCTACGTTTTATCTCGTTGATTTCCTTGTCTGTATTGTATTCCCTAAACTGAGTGATTGATATTGACTTCCTCGCTCTCTCTCTCTGTGTGTGTGCGCGCGCCAAAATGAAGTGTGAAAGCCTTGAACCAACACACACACACACATATTTGCAGCAGGTTTTAACGTTGTTCATTTTAGTCTTATTTCGATTTATTTTCCCGATTCTGCACTATTAAACTGAGTCAACCAAATATTCTAATTATTTGATATTCATTATGTCTGGATACTCTCTCTAATTAGTAACCATATTTCTCAAATAAGTTTAAAAATATAATTACGTAATTCTGTTCTATTTATATGTATCTTTTTATAGTCTTCTCCAGCATTTATGACAGATCTATTTACTGTATTGTCGTCACTTTATAGGAACACTTGTGCTCCAATTTTACGTTTCATTGTTTTTTTTATGTGTGTATGTGTGTGTATGCTAACAACTTTATGTTCGCATGTGTATGTCTACAATCATATTCACTGAATAATTAGTTGTTTTTAATTTTGTTCACAATTAACACCTTTACCAAGTATCCACACTTGTTTTATTTTAAATAACCACTTTTTTTTCACTCTTACTATTCATATTATTTCACCCGTTATTTGTGAATTAATCTACTAGTCCTGACATAATGGTTAACTAAAGTCTTTACCTCTGAATGCTGACATTTTTTATCTGAGACTAATTCAATTCTATCCATAAACATTTGTAGCTCAGTTGTCTTGTTATGAATTAGAGAATTATTCCCTTTACTCTAATCTTAGTACTGTGTCCAATCGCTAATCTTCCAACAAATGTATTCATCGATATAAATCTTTTCACTGAGCGCATCCGTTAAAATTACTACCCCGGTTTCCTACCAACACATAGAAGAGCGAAAGGAAATCAGTCAGTCAGTCAGTAACAACGTAGAACTTCGTACATATGTACATCAGTTCGAGTTGCCACACCACATTAGCACAGAGATGCAGTTGTCTATTCAAATCCCGTAGTGGTAGAGGTAGCAAGAGTATAAGCAGTAATCGGGAAGATTAGGGTTTGGAGATGTTATTTAAAGAGTATAATCCAGTGAAATAAATTTGGAAAGAGGAAAAAAGGGACATGAAGGATTCAGAAGATTAGAATTTGGGAGAACACAGAGAGTGGATGCACCTGCGCCATTGCAAACGATTTTGAGCCATGTCATTCAGGGTCTCTAACCATCGGTTGCTATCATCTCGCGGTCCCCAACCAGGTAGTCTACACCTACCAACATGACTCAGTCCACTTGTCAGTGACTTCATGGACTTGTGCCATGTTTTGGTTTGGCCGCCCCTAGCTTTCTTCCAACCTACTCCTATACCACTGAACATAGCACGTCGAGGCAGTCGGTCGTTGGGCATACGTAACACGTGTCCCAACCATCTCAACTGATGAAGTTTCACTACTTCATCAATTGATTTGCCATCCTTACCTAGTACCCGTTTCCTAACAACTGCATTACTTACTCGATGGTCCCATGATATACGAGCAATGTTTCGAAGACACCTATGATCAAATACTAGTAACCTACGAATATCCTCTACTCTTACCGGCCATGTTTCACTGCCATAAAGTAGGACGGAACGAACTGCTGCGCAGTAAACACGTCCTTTGGTTGATAGACGGATATCTCGCCTACGCCATAAATGACGCAAGTTGGCAAAAGCTAGTCGAGCCTTCTGTATCCGTGCTGAGATTTCGTCACACACTAAACCACAAGGGCTGATGAGACTTCCAAGATAAGTGAAGCGGTCGACACACTCAACTACTTCACTCCCTATCACTAGTTCGGGTGTCGATGTAACCCAATCCTGAAGCAACATTTTGCATTTCGAGGGAGAGAATCGCATCCCGAACATGCTTGCATTGTTGCTTAGAGTGGTCAGAAGACTCTGCATTTTGTCAGCGTCTTCACCAAATAAAACTATGTCATCAGCATATTCTAAGTCAACAAGTGAACCTCCCGGTAGAAGTTCAACCCCTGGAAATTTAGATGAGGAGAGTGTTATCTCTAAAAGTACGTCGACCACAAAGTTGAACAAGAATGGGGAGAGTGGACAGCCCTGACGAACACCACTTGAGGTAATCAATTCTGATGACAGTTCGCCATAAGCTCTCACTCTACCAGTTGTGTTCGAGTAGAGAGCCTTTATAAGGTTAATGTACTTCTTTGGTACTCCTTTCAGTGACAAACACTGCCATAGAACCTCACGATCAACAGAGTCGAATGCCGCCTTAAGGTCGAGAAATACTACCATTGTGGGGCGTCTGAATGTGTGTCTGTGTTCTAGAACCTGACGTAGTGTGAATATCTGATCTATACAACCACGTCCAGGTCGAAAACCGGCCTGGTTTTCTCTAATCTGCTCTTCACGAGCTTTGATTAGGCGTCGAAGTATTATTGAAGCTAATATTTTAGACACTATATTAGTCAAACTGATTCCTCTGTGATTGTCACAAGAGGACTTTTGTCCTTTCTTATAGACTGGCACAATCAGTGATTGAGACCAGTCAGATGGGATTACGTCCAGTTCCCAAATTCTACCTAAGACCTCAGTTAATCTCATTGCTAATACTGGACCACCATCCTTAAAAATCTCAGGAGTAAACCTGTCATCATTGATTTATTTTTACTAACTTTATTCAATATTATATTTTTAGTACAATATAGAATTATCAGCACAAAGTATTCCAGCGAGTTTTCGTTTCTTATTTCTTGATCGATATTGACGATAAATATCGATTGATGGCCATTTAGATATTAGCATTTCAGAAGTCGACATCTGAATAATATTCATTCTTTTCAATTACACTGCCAGCCATCACGATGTCTCCGATTGTAAATTTTTGTAACTTGTACAGCGAAAGGTCGTAGACTTTTCAAAAGCACACCTGAATAGGCTATACAGTTAATTGACATAATGATCTGTTAAAACAAACAATAAAACATAAAACTTCTTGAAATATCTAGATGGCAGGAACAGGTAACCAGGATATTCAAGCAGGTCACCCGGACCATAAACCATATGGAAGAAAAAATGAATAGGATTGACTTATAGACAACCTTTGAAAGTGACCTTAAGAAACGTCACCATAATTGCTGGAGTTATAGGTTATGGGCGGAATTAAGACAGAGTTAGGGTTAAAAAATAAGATTGAGACTTCCATCACGAAATGTCATCAATTATCATGCCAAAATGTTAATGAAATGTATGAATGACTGAGTTTCGCGGCAAAATCCATTGGTCGTCTCATCAGTTCGTCAAGAAATTCTTGTCTTTCGGAAGAATGCGGCTCGGAATTGATGTTCACTTCTTATGTATCTTTGTGTGATGGCTGAGTATGCATCGTTTAAATGCCTAAAGCATCTTAAGTAGCATTAGATTCGTACATATAACCCACAATTTAAAGTTAATAACCTAAAACTAAGTCACAAATACACATGGGTAAAATTACTGTAGCGTAATGAAATTTAGGGTATGACAAAAAAACTCAACCGTTCGGTATTATAACTTTACTCGCTTTGAAAATTCTCTACATAATATCTCAGTGAATGACAGCAAATTGTGGCCACCTAACTTTGGTTAAGGTTCACAAGGTGTTTTTCGTCACGCTTTCCAAAACAGTGAAAGCAACTCAGAGAAAATGTGCTTTTCTTCCTTTTAAAAAGATCATCTACACCCTATGGGCTTTGGTGGAATGATTTTGCTATTTGTGTAGTCAAAACGTAGATTATTTAACTCTCGAAGTAGCTGGTTTGAGTAACAAGACAAACAAGATAAATACCTCAACAAAGCTCTAAAACCCCAGCAAAGATCAAAATGTTTTGTCCAATCAGTATTGAATAGGAACTTCTCAGAAACATCCAGAAAAATAAAGAATTATGTGCCATAAGCTATGATAGATAGTGGCTACCAGCGAAATCCAGGACACGCGCTTCATTCTTTTTGGGACTCATCTGGATTTACCTGCTTGTAAATTAAGGCAATATCGAGGCAGTGCTCATAGTATGAACGTATGCCAATAAGTGACTGAACGATTAGAGTCCTAAACATCAATGGGAAGATTCAAGTAAACAATACCAAGTGAATTATGTGTCACATTTCGATCGGATAATTACAAATGTTGCCACTAAATTTGGTATGTTCTAAAAGCTTGTATGAGGCCAAGGTCATACAAAACATTATGAATACATCCGGTATTCTGTGCGCACTCTTAAAGGCTCTTACATTCAGTACTTTTTCTCTGTTGTTCAAGTTGAAGTGTAAAAGTAGTCTCAAATGGTGAAGACTTATCGATCTCAATGCAACGAAATTTTTTGTGTATATATCAAGCTGTATTTGCGCTAGTAGTATCAAGAAGTTTGTGTGCAGTTAGTCCTTTTCTATAAATAATCAGTTACTGTATAACAGGAATGAGTATTTAAATAAAAATCTTTTATTTATTTATTTAAACACAAACATTGGTACGAGGCACCAAATATATGTGCGCCACACAAATCATTTGGTTTGTGTGAGGGCTGGGATACTGCCCAGGTGCTCAGATCGAACCAGGTGATTTTCTTGAAGGGCCACACCCCGAGCCGTTGACCTAGAAGTCTAATCCACAAGACAGAGGGACAACTTTAGAAGTTGCAGTCCCATGGTAGCCGGTGACTAATAATTCGTTCATACGACATTTGTCCCTTCAGAATCCTGGAGACCATGTGCACCATTGGTTTGAAATCAGGATTTTCCAACCCCCTAAGTGAACCCTACATGTCCACCAACCCAGTTATAGACCCTGACGGACATTTGATTTTTGTCCCCTCAATTTCGTAAACAACACCCCTGGTGTGAGAAGGCAATGAGCAGGACTTCCCTGACAGTGATTGTATGGACGTGGCCATGTGGTAGCATTTGAAGAGAGAGCTGACTCTCCTTACCCTCGACTGTACCAAGGCATTTGGGGGCGATAAATGTTGCTTTGCATTGTAGACTTATTAATAACGTGGTTACAGGAGTTTTCGTCTGTTGTCTTTTATCATCTAATTTCGGTCAGTATGTGATTTTCATCAATGGGGTGTGGAATAGGTATCGATCAACTGGAAAAAGACACTACATTGTTGAAACACAAATGCTATTAAAAGACACTTTTCCAATCAGGAACTTAAAAGTTGTGTGTAAAAGAAACCGAACGTGAATTTAAGTAGTTTATTCGTTATCTATATATAATCTGTCATTGAATACTGTGTAAACTACAGAATAAATCGTGATTTCTACAACTGTTATTGAGTAATTTTTAATCATTCGTGTAATCTCAACATGTTTTTAGTTAATAACGTGGTTAGTGTTATGATAAAAGTTATACCAACCATCAATCTATTGTAATTGGATAAAATACATGTACTGCTACTAATATATGAGTGTTTGTTATGACTGAAAAAAAATTATTAGTCGTTACAGCAGGACAGGAACTAGCACGGTTTTATGTAGAGAAAGTGAAGACTGTATATTTACTTATACATCAACCACTGATTTCGTAATCTACCTGAAGAGTACATTGTTCTATCTGATTTGCTTTAATCGAATATGAATATATCCAACTCCATGTAGTTGACATTAATCAATCACTGTATGCATATAATAAATTAAATTACTGACTTACGTCTATAGATCTTTGCTTCTTCCTGATACAATCTTTCATGGTTGATTTAATCTAAATCTATATACTCGGATAAATTAACTTTTTTGCCAATACATTACACACAAGGATAAGATTTGTACGGATTTGATTTATGTCCAATAGCTTATAGTTGTTTTCTAATCAAAATTTATTTAGTTGAAAAAACTTACTTATCCCTTTTGTATTCAGTGAGGAATTTCGTCATTTCCAATTATCATTTCAATGATATTACTTGTATTTATGTAGTGGCAATGATCTACAGATGTACATTTTATTTTTCTTAATTTTTGTTGTTGTAGGTGATCCTGATATGTACACTCCTAATGGGCATACTTATTCATCTTTAGTAGATGAAACTAATCGATTTCGATCTTATCCAACGTATACTCAACAATTATCTCATCATTTACCTCATGGTACAACTGTACGACAGTCTGTTCTAGCTGCCGCTTCTACAACATCAATTAATTCTTTCTTCCAACAAGAATCTTCAAATTCTTTATTATTAAATCAAACGTGTTCTGTACCAAGTAATGTCACGTCAAATAATACGACCACTGCTACTATTACTACTACTACTAATAATAATAATAACAATGGAGAGGAATCACTAACAAATGGACATTTTCAGTCACCAATGTCACATTCAAATGTTTCAGCAACCAATACATTTACTACTTCATTAGCACCTAATTCAGATAAAACTCCACAGTTGCCATCATCATCTAAGTCTAACACTTCAATAGATGAATGTCGTAGAAATTCAGTAACAAACACAATGTTAAATACATCCAGCAATCGGTCAGAACAAGTCAAGGGTAAGTATTTCATGTAAATTACTTACTTTTAAGATTTAATGTTTTAAATTGTTTGTAAGGAGATTGTTAGTGCGATTAAAAAATTCACGTATATATATATACGTGTATATGTATGCTTTGTATTTCCTAAGAAAGTTTTCAGTTCAGATGATGCGGCGAAAATTCGATTCTTTTTCTTGGGTGTTGTGTCTTGTAAACTGGTTTAAAGGTATTTTTAAGTTATAGGAATTTTTAACCCTAAGAAACAACCTCAACTATATGTCGAATTAACTGATACGACTAAAAGAGCTTGTGAACAGAAGTGTACACATTTTTAGTGGTATAAAGAAGCGCCCAAATACAAGATAAGACATCTATTCATGAGCATGCTAACTGTTGAACTGAACGGAACCATATAGGTGGATTCATAATACCTGGTTTAGGGTTCGCATAATTCTTGACACCTAGGCAAGGACTTCATGTGAAATAATGACTCAAAACCATTCACAGTGGCTCAGGCACATTTATTTTTTGTCTTCCTTGAAAACCTGAGTCTCTAAATTTATAAATTTTTTGTATTTCACTGACTCCATATTACCTAATCTTTTACCACCGATACCATTACAACCTCGACTATCATGAGATTTACTCTTATAATTTCATCTTGTACTAATGAGTGTATAACAATTTGAACCAATGTACACATGTTCCAGACTCTACATTGCGTTTAGCTGATTGAATAGTATAAAGATTCAGAACATTCTGTGTTCTAATAGTTGAATTAATGAGTCGAGCTAGACCACCACTACCACCTGAAAGCACTGCATGGTCGTTTTGTCCCGGCGTGGGACTCCTCAGTAGTGCTCATCCACGATTCCGCACACGGGACTCGAACCTCCATTCTGATAATAATCACTAGTGACTGACTCCAAGATGGATTTTCGGAATTTCTAGTTGTGAAGACGTTACACACTGAAGACAATGGGAGATAGTCGGGCAATATCATAGATTGATTGAAATTAAACATTAACACCGTTGGATACGGCTCATTGGTTCAGAGGCTGAGCTTTCGCGCGCGAGACCGAAGTCTTGGTTCCGAGTCCAACATGCAGTGTCGTGTCACGTTTCGATCGGATAGTTACAAATGTTGTTACTTTATTTGGTATGTTCTAGAGGCTTGTATGAGACCAAAGTCATACAAAACATCATAAATACATCTGATATTCTATAACAGTTCAACTGGCTTTCAGCTACTCTACAACTACCCTCCATTCCCAGACAGTGTGAATGGAACATTAAAGTAGGTTCCCCAACTCTAGCTGAAGTTCAAAAAGCTGTAGTTAATCTGAAACGAGGAAGGGCAGCGGGTCCAGATGGTTTGGCTCCAGAGGTCTTTAAGGATGGTGGTCCAACTTTAGCGATTAGCTTGATTAGTAAAATACGAGCCTCGATAATTATCGGACACCTAACTAAGACTCGTGAACTGCAAACACGAGAAAATCAAGCTGGCTTCAGACCTGGTTGTCACCGCATCGAGCACATATTCACCATTCTTCAGGTTCTAGAACACAGGCATTCTACTTATCGGCGTCCGCCAATGATGGTCTTTCTTGACTTAAAAGCAGCATTTGACTCTGTAGGTCGAGAGGTTCTGTGGCAGTGTCTTTCATTGAAAGGTGTACCTCAGAATTACATAAACCTTGTGAAGTCTCCTTACTCGGACACTACCAGTCGTGTCAGAACTGATGGAGAACTGTCATATGATTTTGCAACGTCAAGTGGTATCGAACAGGGCTGTCTACTATCTTCATTTCTATTTAATCTCATCATAGACGTACTGATGGAAATAACGCTCTTGTGGACTGGATTTTTGGGCATTGATGTCGTACCAGAATGTTCACTTATGGACTCAGAATATCCAGATGATATAGTCTTGTTCGTTGGAGACTCTGATAAGGTGCAGTCTTTTGGTAGCAGTGAGCAACAATGCCAAAATGTTATGGATGTGCTTCTCCCTCTCTAAATGCAAGTTGTTGCTTCAGGACTGATCTGCGTCAACACCAGAACTAAGGATAGGGAGTGAAGTAGTCGAACGCATTGACAACTTCACTTATGTTGGAAGTCTGATCAGCCCTAATGGGTTGGTGTCTGACGAAATCTCAGCACGGATTCGAAAAGCTCGTTTGGTTTTTGCCACCTTACGCCACCTATGGCGAAGGCGAGATATCCATCTGTCAATAAAAGGACGAGTATACTGCGCGGCAGTCCGTTCTGTGTCAATTTATGGCAGTGAAACATGGCCATTAAGAGTAGAGGATATTCGTAAGCTATTGGTATTTGACCACAGATGTCTTATAAATATTGCTCGCATCTGCTGGGATCACCGGGTAAGTAATAGTGAGGTTAGATGCAGGGTATTAGGGAATGATGATGGTATATCAGTTGATGAGGTTGTGAATGTTCATCGACTGAGATGGTTGGGCCATGTCTCACGTATGCCTGAACAGCGATTACTACGACGTGCAATGCTAACCGGTGTTGGGGATGGTTGGAAGAAAGTTAGGGGTGGCCAAACCAAAACGTGGCATCAGTGCTTGAAGTCGCTAAGTTCTAGTCTGAGCCATGTTGGTAGATGCAGACTACTTGTTTGGGGTCCGCGTGACTATCGTAACCAATGGTTGGAGAGTGTTAGTGATATGGCTCAGAATCGATCACAGTGGAGTAGGTGTATACACTCTTTGTCTTTCCTTAAACTAAGAGATTAAAATCGCTTAATATCTTTCTTTCTACGAACTAATTCTTTCTTCCTGTACTATATCCTTATATGCAATCTTTCTTTTATGTATTGCCACCATTGGCTTAACCACTCCTATGAATTCGGTGTTGATCTTGTGCTAATGAGGTATGGCAACTTGGACCGATCCACATATGTGCCTGTTCCTACGTTGTCGCTGACTGACTGATATTCTATGCACACGCTTAAGGGCTCTTTCATGCGGTACCTTTTCTCTATTGTTCAAGTAGAAGTGTAAAAGTAGTTTGAGATTATAGGATGTATCTGGGACGTCAGTAACAAGCATTCATTTAACAGATCACCTTTTCCACGTATTCCCTCGCATCTGATTTACCTTTTTCACTGACGTATATATATATATATATAGTGTTTATTTTAATATTTCCTGTTTTCTCAGGCTCTACAACCTATCTAGAACATTTAAATCCAGAATCCAAAGATATACGACGTCGTGTCAGCCATAATGAAGGTAAATAATTTTACAATTCAATGATTATTCTGTTCTTGTTTTGCTGCATTTTCCGGCATACTTTGGCAATGTAGTGATGTGGTTTTTCTCTTCGTTATGGAGAGAGAAAGAGAGGTCTTATCAACAACCTTGACCTCATTGATCACGTCTATAGCCCTTTTGTTTTCTACTGATCTTTAAGTCACTGAAATGTTTTCTTATGGCTGTGTGTTTTGGATGTATATACAAACTGAATTCCGTACTGTTAAGAACAACGAACGATGTTAGATAGTGTAGAAGGTTAGAAGAAACTAGAGCATTATATCAGTCTATAAAGTCATTAGTCGCGAGGTTCTGTGGCAGCGTTTGTCACTGAAAAGAGTACCAAAGAAGTACATTAACCTTATAAAGGCTCTCTACTCGAACACAACTGGTCAAGTGAGAGCTTATGGCGAACTGTCATCAGAATTGATTACCTCAAGTGGTGTTCGTCAGGACTGTCCACTCTCTCCATTCTTGTTCAACTTTGTCGTTGATGTGCCTCTAGAGACGGCACTTTCCTCATCTAAATTTCCAGGGGTTAAACTTCTACCGGGAGGTTCACTTGTTGACTTAGAATATGCTGATGACATAGTTTTATTTGGTGAAGACGCTGACAAAATGCAGAATCTTTTGACCACTCTAAGCAACAATGCGAGCATGTTCGGGATGCGATTCTCTCCCTCGAAATGCAAAATGTTGCTTCAGGATTGGGTTACATCGACACCCGAACTAGTGATAGGGAGTGAGGTAGTTGAGTGTGTCGACCGCTTCACTTATCTTGGAAGTCTCATCAGCCCTTGTGGTCGGGTGTGTGACGAAATCTCAGCACGGATACAGAAGGCTCGACTAGTTTTTGCTAACTTGCGTCATTTATGGCGTAGGCGAGATATCCGTCTATCAACCAAAGGACGTGTTTACTGCGCAGCAGTTCGTTCCGTCCTACTTTATGGCAGTGAAACATGGCCGGTAAGAGTAGAGGATATTCGTAGGTTACTAGTATTTGATCATAGGTGTCTTCGAAACATTGCTCGTATATCGTGGGACCATCGAGTAAGTAATGCAGTTGTTAGGAAACGGGTACTAGGTAAGGATGGCAAATCAATTGATGAAGTAGTGAAACTTCATCAGTTGAGATGGTTGGAACACGTGTTACGTATGCCCAACCACCGACTGCCTCGACGTGCTATGTTCAGTGGTATAGGAGTAGGTTGGAAGAAAGCTAGGGGTGGCCAGACCAAAACATGACACAAGTCCATGAAGTCACTGACAAGTGGTCTGAGTCATGTTGGAGGTGTAAACTACCTGGTTGGGGACCGCGAGATGATAGCAACCGATGGTTAGAGACCCTGAATGACATGGCTCAAAATCTTTTGCAATAGCGCAGGTGCATCCACTCTTTGTGTTCTCCTTGTTAGTTGATATAGAATATCTGGCTGGGATCATCCTTCCCTAAATGCCTTAGTACGGCCGAGGATGGGGAGTGTCAGCTCTCTCTCCAAATGCTATCACTTGGCCACATGCATTCAATCATTGCCAGGAAATTTCTACTCACTGTCTTCTCACACCAGGGGTGTTGTTTACGAAATCGAGAGGACAAAAAGCAAATGTCCAGCGCTTTAACCGGGTCGGTGGATATGGCGGATTCCGTTAGGGGAGTTGGAAAACCCTGATTCCAAAGCAATGGTGCACATGTGCTCCAGGATTCTGAGGGGACAAATGTCGTATGAACGAATTATTAGTCACCGGCTACTATAGGACTGCAACTTCTAAAGTTGTCCCTCTGCCTTGTAGATTAGACCTCTAGGTCAAGGGCTTGGGGTGTGGCCCTCTAAAAAAATCACCTGGTTCGATCTGAGCAACTGGGCAGTATGACTGTAGTGGCTTCGCTTCTCTAATCAATCCATCTTGACAGCCTTTATAATATAAATCACAACGTTTTTTGGAAATCAGAAGGTAATGAGAAGCGTCAACTGCAGTGAAGATCACAAAGCTATATGCACTTCAAGCGAATTTGAAGCAGAAAGGCGAATATGTGTATGCGAGCAAATACAGTCGCAAATTTATAGTCAAATCTCATTAGGGCACAGCAAAGCCAAGCTAAAGTTAATAAAAGGATTTGAGTACAGACATACATGAGGGGAAGTAGATAGTCATCGGGTGATATTTAAGCAATCAACATTTTAGCTAGGGTCTATCATGTGATCTAGGATCATAACAGTACAAATAAATATGCGAATTGTTACTTTTCTACTAACATTGTTAAGTTAATAAAAGGATTTAACAAAATTAAACATAATCGAGGTTGGTTGTAGATAGTTGCTATATGAAAGCCTACACACAAAACAATTGACTTGTGGGGCACTATGTATTCTGTGCCCCTTTTGTACCAATATTTATGTGTTCAAATAATAATAATAATCGTCCAGTAACCATAATCATTGATTGAAGACTAAGTGAAATGCCTCAGAATCGGTCACAAACTGTATTCAGTTTTCGTTTCTTCCAGACATAGAATCTTATTATTTCTTTATACGTGTTTTTGTTTCCTTCTATCTTTTCAAATCATACTCTTGATGCTTATAGTGTTTCTCATTTTGATATTTTCTTATACTGTATTGATGATTGATTGATTGTTTACATGTATTCATTTAGTGTTCTAGGTCTTCATTAAAGTCTTGAACCATATGTATAATTATTTTCATCATTTACCAGATACTAATACTCCTTTTTTGACAGTATTTTTGTTGTAATTTTCAATTACATCACCTAGATCTTTCTTAACTATCCAAATAGCTTCATCGGAAGCTATCTATCTAAGTTTGTCTATTTGAAGATAATATTTTTATTCTCAGCTGTGTATAGTTCACCTGGATGTGTTTTCAACGTGATTATGATTTGGAATATATGTATTTTTCTGAATTACGATAATACACTTCACACTGTATTAGTCTGACAAAAAGACTACACTGATAACGAAAGTTTGTATCATATGATTTAATAAGACATATATACATATATCTTGTCCAACTGTGTCTTTTTACATTTTTATCTTATGACTCTGCCTACTCAACTGATTAGTAAACTGTTAGTGAAGTGTAACTGTCATAGTCAAACCTAGATTTAATCTAGGTTTACTTTCATATACTTTTAATAAGTGCACCAAACGTTTTGCTTACTGTGTTTCAAGATTTTTGTTGTTGAATTCCGATTTGTTTTGAGATTCAACAATTATTAGCATCTATTGTAAAACAGGATACTATTACTTAGTTCTCTAGCAGTAGGTCTATGACGAAATTAAGTAGAAATAAAGATAGTAGACAGCCCTGTCCGATACCACTTGACGTTGCAAAATCATATGACAGTTCTCCATCAGTTCTGACACGACTGGTAGTGTCCGAGTAAGGAGACTTCACAAGGTTTATGTAATTCTGAGGTACACCTTTCAATGAAAGACACTGCCACAGAACCTCTCGACCTACAGAGTCAAATGCTGCTTTTAAGTCAAGAAAGACCATCATTGGCGGACGCCGATAAGTAGAATGCCTGTGTTCTAGAACCTGAAGAATGGTGAATATGTGCTCGATGCAGTGACAACCAGGTCTGAAGCCAGCTTGATTTTCTCGTGTTTGCAGTTCACGAGTCTTAGTTAGGCGTCCGATAATTATCGAGGCTCGTATTTTAGATACTATATCATTTAAACTAATCCCTTTATGTTTGTCACAGGACGATTTTGACCCCTTCTTATATATTGGGACGATCAGTGATTGTGACCAGTCAGATGAGATAACGTCCAACTCCCAGATTTTAGCTAAAATATTAATCAAGCTAATCGCTAAAATTGGACCACCATCCTTCGTTTTCAGAACTACCTAAATATGGCCTCCATTGTTCCTGGAATCTACTTTTGGTTTTCTCGTCAGAGGTCAATTCTAATTGATCTTATTAATGTGGTTTTTCTGTGTCCAGTGAGGCCCAGGCAAATGAGTGTTCGTATTAGAGCATGATCAGAGTCTAAACATGTACTCCAGAACTAATGACAGTCTTCTATCGAGCCTTTCCAACGATGACTGATGGCAATATCGTGTATTTGAGTCCATCGTTGGTTTTGTGCAGAGGGTCGCTATGGTAGACGATGTCTCTCCTTACGCTTAAAATTAGTGTTTGCTAAAAGTGAACGATCGTCTGAGCACAGTTTCAGCAGACGATCACCATTGTCTGTTCGCTGAGCCGGAATACTAAAACATTCACTTAAATGTCTGTTTTTGGTTTAAGCTACCTACTTGGTCATTAAATCCACCTATGAGTACCATGAGTGCTCAGCTTTTTGAAGCAGTTCAGTAAGCTTTCTGAAAAGTTTATCTTTTACTTCATCTGGTCTGCAGTCCGTGCGAGCATAGGCAGAAACAACATAAAGGCAACAATGTGTGTCACTATCCTTCTGAGTCCTTACAAAGCCGTTTAGCCGAACAGCATATAGGCGACTGTTAACGGTAATCCACTCTAGTAGTGTTTGTTCTGCCCTCGTACTCAGTACTATGCCTGCACCCACCAGTACACAAGAACTAGTCATCGGGTCGCCAAATAAATGGAGGGTGTATCTCATCGGCTCTCCGTTTTGGCGAGGTGAGGTCAAGTGAATGACCACACTAGGATCCTGTATGCGTGTTTCGTAGACACAGAATACGTTGATCATACGAGATTCTAAGGTTTTAGTCAAGGAGGCCCGCTGGCCGATTTGACATAGAGTACGTACATTGAAGGCTCCAATGTGTCGTTTGGAGCCGAGGTTTCAGTAGATGTGGGACAGTATTTCGAGCTCAGTGACAATTGAGGAGGGAGTCAGAAGAGGATGTTTAGAGTTGAAAGTTGAGGTAGGAGGAATAATAGGAATTATAGAGGGAAATTGATTATGAATGGAGTGATCTTGAGTGCTGTTAGCGGTATGAAGGCAGTTATCACTTCCCGGTTGACTACACCGT